AGTCGTCTTTACACAAGTTCAGACTAATCAATAGGGAATGTATTTTTTTTTGAAGGGAAGGGGTCAAGGCAACTGGAACTGTTACTTGTAGAGGCAGCAAATGGAGTAACCCCTGCTATTCAGGGCCTGAAAATATGTTCAGGGGTAATTACCCCTAGAATTCTAGGGGGGGGTATTTAACCCCTGGATTCTAGGGGGGGGGTATTTACCCCCAGGATTCTAGGGGGGGGTATTTACCCCCGGGATTCTAGGGGGGGGTATTTACCCCCAGGATTCTAGGGGGGGGTAAATAACCCCAATAACCCCCCTTATATCCGCCACTGAGTAGATCAAATATGGACACACGACAAAAATGAATTAAATTAATAAACAGTTTTTCAAGTATCTTCTTACCAAAGCCCAAAGCGGTCTAAACATCTTGGACCGGACATTTTCTGAAATATGAGAATCATGTCATAACAGTTTTTTAAAGATCATATATATAATATTTAAAATGGTTAAGTAATGGTTTAATTAGAACTTTTTTAGGCTTTGTCAATGTAAGCAAATATTTAAAAATTACTACGCCCAAAAGGGTATGTTAGGAGGGAACCATTTCTAGGAATTGTACCTCAGATGTTAATGATATAACAGATATTAAAAAAAAAATTTCCGAACCGCAAACCATATGGCCTCAGTACACGGCTACTCAGGTTTGCCTTCTAAGTGGTACTAACACAACCACGGGAAGTGGGACTTTTAGGTCCAAGAGGCCGTCTATGGAGTGACCCACCAGCGGCTTCCTGTACCTCACCTTACCTTGACCTGACCGATCTCAATATGATCTTGACCCTAACCTAACTTGACCTAACTGGTTTAGACCTTGACCCCACCTGACCAAAGGAATTGAGTTTTTGCCACAACCTCAAATTTTTTAATTTCTATATCTCTGGAACCAGTGGGTATAAACCTTTGATATTTCAAACTTAGATTATTTGATCTAACAGAATTAATAGTTTGAAATATCTAAGGTCTACGACATTGGGTTGCCAAGATATAGGGATAAGAATATCTAAGTTTGTGGCAAAAACTCAGTTCCTTTGACTTTAACTTTGACCTTGACATTGACCTGAACATAGAACATATTTGACTTTAACTTTGACCTTGACCCTGACCTGAACATAGAACATATTTGACTTTAACTTTGACCTTGACCCTGACCTGAACATAGAACATATTTGACTTTAACTTTGACCTTGACCCTGACCTGAACATATTTGACTTTAACTTTGACCTTGACCCTGACCTGAACATTGAACATATTTGACTTTAACTTTAACACCGACTTAGACTTTGAACTTGACTTTGACTTGACCTTCAGTTAAAATGAAACAAAAAATAGTTTAAATGACATGAAAATAATTTAAATAAATTACTACAAATGCATTAACAAAACTAGATCAAATAAACATAGTATCAGAACATAAGAATAGTTCAATTAAACAAAAAAAATAGTTCAAATTTTAACATAACAATAGTTCAAATAGTTCAATTAAATAAAAAAAAGTTGGACAGGGGCTCGTCTTTTGTTTAGTGACGTAGGAGGGGGAGTTTGCTGCATTTTTTAATTGTTTTTAATCTAGGAAAGGTTCTAGGTTGGAGGATGAGCAATTATCGCTAGAAAAGTTCTACAATATAGAAAACCACAATTTAGGCAGTGAGAGAATGCATATCTAGGATAGTCTAACTTACAGACTACACAGACTGCTTATCTTCTTTCACAAGGTGGGCTACGTTTTTACGATAGGTTTTTAGAGTGCCATCTCACGGCCACTTGTTGAACATAATACCCATTCAGGGGTTAAGTTTACAACTTTTAAAGAAATACTCCAATTTCAAACATGAAACATAACATTTATGAATTCAGTCTTTTTTTTGAAGATTTTGTGTTTCGTATCTAAAGGATCCTTAAAAATCATTGAATACAAATGTTTGCTGATTTGTCATGTAAAGTACTTGTACACAATAGAACATGCTGTGGAAAATGTCGCATATTTTAGCTGATTATCGATCTCTGTAACTCTCATATCTCTGGCCTAACTTGATTAAACTCGACAGGAATGATAGCTATAACGCACAACAAACATTAAATAAATTTCAAATAAACATAAATATAGTTCAAGTGAAATAAAAAATAGTTTAAATGAACATTAATTGAAGAAAAATCCCTGGTCCAAGCGCTGCAATAAGAAAATGCCAGGAGACAGAGTGCTGCCAAATATTTATTATAACATGGTTAGCGCCTATTCCAGGTTATGTTAGTTTAAGGCAATTACTGAGCCAGGCGCTGCAGCTAGGAGGCCAAGCGCTGCAGCCACTATTTTTGTTATAACATAGAAATTGGTTAGATAAGAAAATTTTTTGGGTCGGGCGCTGCGGCTAATAATTTATTGCCTGTAACAGGTTAGGCTAGGTTAAGACAATTTCTGGACCTAATACAGTTGCTAGGATATGCAATGGGGTCAAGTGGCGAAGCCATGATATGAACTCCTAGCTTTGAAAACCAGCTATGCCTGGAATGGAAATAAGTCAATCTACTAAATTCTTAGAACTTTTAACCCAAACTAATAACATATCGAGTTTCCAAATCAATTTGAGGACAATAAAATTGAAATAATTCAAATAAAACAAAATAAAATATTTCTTTCTTGATGTGGCATAAGTGGTTTCTTAAAATAGAACTATTTATCAATTATTATAATTAGTGCCTAACTATGACTAATTTTTATTAGTGAATAAATAATTGAGAAATTAGTTTTAGTTACATTTAATTTTTTTATATTCTTTGATTCAAGTGATACCTTTCTTGTAATTCTTTAAAACCTAGAAAAGTTTATTATTGATTTAAATTTTATCGATTTTTCAAAAAAAAGTATTGCTTTAAGATTATAACCCGGTCTTAGCGTCTACTTAGACCCAAGTAAAGCTCAAGTCAAGACTCGGGTTTTGTATTGCATTGGGTTAAGTAAAAACCAATTGCCTTGGGTTCTTCGCTCTTTAAGGCTTGGGTCTCCAAAAGCTGATGATCGTAAATTTCGTAAAAACTATTATGTTTATACATTAAAATTCTTGGGAATTATTTGTAGTGTCCAATTTGATCAAAGGCATGAACTAAACATAATATGAAAATAATGTATCTACATAAAGTTTGAATTTTCGAAATTTACATCTCCTTGTATGTCCCAGCTGATCTGTCTGCTGCAGAGAGAAAGCTTTCTAAGCAGTCTCTCATTGGTCGAACCAGAACCAATCCTGACTTGGGTTTTAACTGAGCTCGACTCCTTCAATTCCTTCAATAGACCTTAGTTAAATCCCAGCTCAAAAATATTTCTCCAAATATCTTCCTTTCTGTTAAAGAAATGTTTTAAGTTTTATTATAAATCGTATTAACCACATCATGAGTCCAGATAAGTTTAAGATATTATCTTTAATAAATTGTACCTTTCCATTTTTTCCATATCAATTTGATGTATTGTTTAACCAATCTGATAAATTACTAATAAAAGATGTATTCCAGAAAAGCTACCTTTGGCTTATGGAGAGGAAGTTCTTCCGCTCTACACCACTTGTTTCAGTTTAACCAGGAAAAAAACAGCCGCACTGAACCCTGCCATAAGAAACTGACCCCTTTCCAGCTCTTCTAACTCACAGCGTAGCAGATAAGACAGAACTGGTCCATCTGCAACTTTCAGGCTATGTTTCGTCTGCAGATGCCAAAACTGAAAGTTGCATGTTTACGGAGCTATGGAATATGGATCAAACCTCTGCGCCAAAATTTCTCTGGTCTACATTTCACTATACAGGGACCAAACTTAGACATCCCTTACAAGGTTAGGCCGGTTCATGCCTTATGATTGCTTAGTCCACGAACTGCTTGTTGTCCAGTCCTCAACCACACTCATACATCCAGTTTCAGTGCCACATCTATTTAAATTCTAAAATCACACCAGGCGGCAAAAAATAAAAGTGAAAATAATCATCCCTTAGGTTTTGACAATTGGGTTGCTTCAAAGTAGTCCTAATTACTCCCCAGGTATCTTAACAAAAGCAGAGAACTTATCCTCTCAAGCTTAATTGATCAATCGATTGAAATAATAATTTTCTTAAAAATTGCAAGCCTACCAAATCAAGAGTTAATGATAACGATTTTCTAATACAGTGGTCGGCGATTATATCAATACAATGAAGACAATTTTTAGTTTTAGCATTTTTTTCTAAATTCAAAAAACCCAAGTCAGGATTGGTTCTGATTCGACCAATGAGAGACTGCTTAGAAAGCTTTCTCTCTGTAGCAGACAGTGACAGATAAGCTGTGACAAGAAGATGTAGATTTCAAAAATTCAAACTTCATGTAGATACATTATTTTCATAATATGTATTTCATACCTTTCATCATATTTGACCAGATAATTCCAAAGATTTCATATATACAAATGTATTAGTTTTTAACAAAGGAATTAAGCTTTTACCACAAACACTGATTTTCTGATCCCAATATCTTTGCAACCCAACGTTGTAGACCTTTGATATTTCAAACTATAAATTGTGTTAGGTCAAATAATCTAAGTTTGAAATATTAAAGATTTATGCCATCAGGTTTAAAAGAAATCAAATAGATTTTCAAGTACAATAGGTGGCAACAGAGAAATGGACCAATGATACACGACGTCACAAGTGTCAAATATAACAAGGAAAACTAAATTATCTCACATAAATTGACATATTTTCCAAGATTCAATAAAAAAAAGTAAAAACAGAAAATAAAGAACACATATAATTTCACTTATTTCACTGTAAGATACGCACTTTATTCTAAAACTATCATTATTATTAATGATTTTGTCGGACACAAAAACTGAGTTGACACTTGTGACATAAGAATACAGCTGTACTGAGAGTGTACAAATTCTACGTTGCCATCTATTGTACTTGAGAATCTATTTGAAAGAAATATGGGTTAGAAAATTTGAGTTTGTGCCAAAGACTCAATTCCTTTACGATCATCAGCTTTTGAAGACCCGAGCCTTCAAGAGCGAAAACCCCAAGGTGGTTGGTTTTTACTAAACCCAAGGACATCCAAAACCCGAGTCTTGACTTGAGCTTTACTTGAGTCTAAGTAGACGCTAAGACCGGGTTTTACTCGGGTTTAAGCTTTTAAAATCTCACCTCAGATATCTGACTCAAAATCTGCTAAATTTCTTAGAAAATACTTACCGCCATTTTAACGCCTTTAAAATTAAAGTTACATCTAAGAGTTATGAAAATAGATGATGTGAGGATTCTTGAAATATTTGTTGCTTGTTTATAAACTGCCTAGAACTAAATATGTGGCAAACTTATGAAAAAATAAAATTGCAATAGACTTAAAAATAAAACTAAGGATAAGCTTTTTTTAATCTTAGCTAAGTACCTGGAGTTACCTAGGACCACCTTGAAACAACCCCAGTGTCAGAAACCATTTGTTAATTATACTAACTAAACATTATTTTGTATAGCCTTGTATGAAATGGAATGAAAACACGAATACAAAATAGTGATATTTTTTTAAATAGTAAATTTTGAAACATTTCCCCACAATGCAATTTGGTCCTTTACTAAAGTATTGTTTAATCTGCCTGACATGTTATTTAGCTGTCATTTTATTTTGCATAAGTCTCAAATGTCGTTAAACCTTGAACAAATAAATTATATTCTTAACTTGGTTTTATGTGTTTTTATTACATTGTGCAGAAATTATGGCAAGTTTCACCAAAGCTATTAAAAATCCGAAAATGTAAAAAAGCGAAATTTGAACTAATCTAACTAATTCTGAAGGGAAATGAAAAAGAAGAATCAGATTAAACGCTAAGCAAAACTTCTACGGAATCTTGACGAAAATGTACTAGCTAAACTTTACCTATAACCTCTTCACAGCCAAATATTAACATAAAAACCTTAAAAACATAAAAGAAAGTTTGAACCTCTGAATGTGGCGGGAGTGTAGTAAATGATATATTGATAAGAATGAATGCTCATGAATCCATGAAGTACGGAGTATGCTGTTTCCCCCCTGGGCGTGCTGTCAGTACCTCCACTCCTGTATCTGTAACCAGCATAGTTTGCTCAAACTGAGCTGATAGCTTTCCGTCCTAAAAGACAACTTTGCTGTTCATTTTCTTCAAATAAGGATTCCTTAAAGGGACTGTAAAGGAAAAATGAAAGAGGGTATAGGCTGAAACCTGAGAATCTCAGGAGTTGAACGATACCTATAATACATCTATCTGATGTTCCTGTCTCAAGAAATTGACATAGAACTGTGTCAAAATTATACCAAAACATACGTCCGTATCACGTGACCAGAACTCCCTCCAATTGCAGTGCAGTATACTGGTCACGTGATACAGACGGAGACATGTGCCAATAATACTGCAATGGCATTGGTTGGAGTTCTGGTGACATGTTCCGGACGCATTAATAATATTATCAATTATACCTTTAAAACATGAAAAGTTATTAAATTCAAATAATAACAGAAAACCTGAGTTTCTCATGCTCCTCTGGGATATCGCTGTTTTCAGATTGGTTGAGTATTTGTAGAATATGATCTGTTTAATACTACAAATCTTAGACAAAATCTTACTTTTAAAGGTTTTGGTATAATTTTGACGTAGTTTTATATCAATTTCTCGAGAGAGGAACATCAGATAGACTTCTTATAAGTCTCAATCAACTTCTGAGATGCTCAGGTTTCAGCCTATACCCCCTTTCATTTTTCCTTTACAGTCCCTTTAAAGGAATTGTCTTCCTAATTTTAAGTGATGTTAGCTGCTCAAGTTCTGATTAAACTTTAATCGGAACAAAATAGATGCAAATATTCTAGCTTTTCTATCTAAAAATTGATGATTTCTCTGATAAAGTGGCGACAGAATTTAAGCAGAACAGCCAAGGAAGGAAATTTAATAATAGTGTAGACCAAAAACGTGTATGTTATAGTGGAATTTCTGCCGTCTACTTTTGAAATGTTGCAAGGATTTTGTAATTAGAAGCTACTGAAAACTCTCTAAAAATACCGAGCATGGGAACTTTGTTTGGAGTATCGTTATTCTTGATATTGAGGATTAACGAGGAATTAGAAAAATCCGTAGGTCAGCATAAGATGGAGATCAATGCCTGATCTGGAGACTTAGACATTTTCAGAGAAATATCAGTTGCAACAATTGCATATAACAAAATCCTTCCAGATATTTCTTGAGTAAAATTAGAAACAAGATGACATTTATTGTCCAGTTTTCTGTTTGTCACTGACCTGTGTGACACTTGTCCAGTTATCAGGCCAGGTGGTGTCTCCCCAGAGACCTTCACTTATCATAGGTTCGATAGTGAAGCAGTGACCAGGCTTCATCACACCAACAGCCTAGAACAGAAGGGGGACCTCAGGGCAAAATATCAACCAAATACTACAGAAAAAAAACCTATTTGCACTCAAAACCCAAAGCTGGACTGTCAAAAAAGTAAAAACTATCAAATATTTCCTTGTTTCTGAATGGTTAATCAAATTTTAGCATAAAAAACGAAAAAAAAAAAGAAATTGAAAAATTCTTCTTTAGCTCTACAAATCAGCAACTCTTCGTGCCCTGGAACCGGATCCATTTTTCCCAGTGCAGATCCGGGATATCCGGATTTGCATCAAAATTTAATGGATCCTAAGGACTGCTTTCAGGGAATTGTTTCATGCACACTTAATAAGTCACGTATATAGAACAGGGTTTCCACCTACCTTGTTCTTAGCGTAGTGAGGCACATTCGGAGCACAGTGGAACAGTTTGTGGATCCCATGTCCACAATAGGACCTGGAGAAAATTAAATATCAGGAGATGGGCCAACTGTTATTGTAAATGTAGTGATCAGTAAACCTTTTAATATTTCTTTAGGCGATCTATACTATTACCGTTAATGCTGGGTACCCCAGAGAAAAAAATCGTAACGCGACAGGCAATCATTTTAAAACGTAAAAATACATTATAAAAAAAAGATCCAAAAATTTTTTTCCCTAAAAAATAATTGAGGAAAAGGATTACAAAAATATATTTATGAACCTAAAAATTATATGACCAAAAAATGAGAAAGTGCAAACCTGACTACACTGTATCCTCCTGAGGTGGCATGTTTCTGTATCACATCACCAACTTCTCTAATGTACAACATCAATTATTTTATACAGTGCTATAGGATCTTCATAATATTTTGGATTCCAAGATCTAAATCTGCAGAGACATGAAAAATACGCAAACGTACACCAAAACATGGCAATCTGCCAGTGTTATCTAAGTTATGTCAATTTCTTATAAATAAATGAGCAAAATATGCATTTTTAGGTTACATTGAAAATAATTGTTATTTTTTTTTTGAATAAGTGCTCTTTTTAATAAAGGAGAGAACGAAGTTTTCTTTTATTTAGATTATAATTTTTAGTTGACTTTTTAAATTATCGAGGTAAAGAACTTTAAGACACAAGGGGCGGGTTTTAGAACTAAGGAAAAAGTATATGTGATAGAAAGGATGTTCTGAAGGGGAATCTAATTAAAGTTTTCAAATGACTAAGAATCCTGACAAAATTAAAACTGTTCTTTCAGTGAACCCTAAATATCTGAAGTTTCTTTATTATTAACTAAGTCCCTCTGTCTAAATTAACCCCCCGGATACCCAATACCCATGGGTTCCCTCAAATAAATTCCGCCAATTTGGTCCAGCAGTTTTGGGCAGCTATAGCGAACATATATTAGCTTACTATCTAGATTAAAGACCTGTATTTGGTTCCGGGTTTTACACACTCCACTATAGCCTTCTCCAGGCACTCCCAGGTGTTGGTAACAAGGTTCCTGGCCTTCTCCGATACCTCGCCAACAAACAGGGTCTCGTTAAGATCACCATGATATCCCCTGAAAATATTAGGACATAAATACAATCCAAGATCATGAAACATCTTAAAGTTAATCTATGAAATAGCAAATTAAAAGAGTCCGATAAAAAAACCGCAATCTTTTTCCCTGTAGGGACTGTAAGGGACAATAAATATTTCTTTCTCATTTTTGTAAACCATTTTCAACGTCAAGATTCGGTAATTTAAAGGGACACGGGTCAGCTGTGTTTAGTTCACACTGTACGCAGCGTACACAGAGTTTTACATGAATTCAAGCGGTTTTCGATAGATTTATCTTTGAACTTGATAAGACAAAAACACACAGATTTCAAGCAGATATTATCAGATCAATTATAAATTGACGCTCTGAGGGCGCCTTGATACTGATAATCCTAAATGAATTATTATTATTAAAATTTTACAAGTTAGAAAGGATTGAAGGAGTAAAATTTTTCATGGAAAATAATTTTTTATCAAAATGCGTCAATACTTCTTTTCTACTAAAGCTTCTAACTATGCAATAATTGAATTCTCTATTTAAGGACTTTACTCTGACCGGAATCTGGCTGAGATATAGGAGATTGAAGACAGAGAAAGAACAGAACTTGATGGGAGGAATAGATCTAAGCGAACTCAGATCTAGAAAGAAGTAAGAAATTTAGATGACTCGAGCTCGCTGACTTCTGATATAGAGTTTGCCACGCGGGTCTTTTAACCCTATTCCCGCTGGGGGGGGGTCAATTTGACCCCCCCCCTGTAGTTTTTTTTACATACCTCAAAAAGTATTGGTCTGAGGCTGTTGAAATTTTCTGACTTTTCTTACATACCCAAAGCCCTCCCTTTAGGCCTAAAACCGGGCTTTAATACTAACTGCCTGAGTCCTCAGGCACACTGCCTGAATGANTAAATAGAATGGGATCCGAAGGTTCAGTTGAAAGATATAATGTAAATAGAATGGGATCCGAAGGTTCAGTGGAAACAAATGACTGGATGAGAAACTTAGAAAAAGAGACTTTCTAATTTTTAATTCTCATGTTGATTTAAACTAGATATACGAAACCATATTCATTACAGGATAAACACAAGACGTCAAGTTACATGAATAAAATTACAAGTTATATAATTACAGGTAAATTGTTTAAGTCTGAAAACCTTACGGCTCAGAGGCTGAATGAGAACTTAGGTTTGCTCTTATTACTATTTGAATTTAATAATTTTTTATATTTTTTATACATATTCTGGAAATTCTTAACAACATTATTGGGTAGTAACGGGTAAGGTGAGGTTTTTAGCATTATCCCCCCTCCCTTTCTTTCCCTTCTATGTTGTTCTTGAAGGAATATTTAATCATGAAACTTTTTAACTCAAAATATTAGATTTCTTAGATTCCCTCTGTGCTTTCCCCGATGCCATGGGACATTAAACTTACTTCTGAGACATTAAACTTGAAACTTCTGAGACATTAAACTTACGTCTGAGACATTAAACTTACGTCTGAGACATTAAACTTACTTCTGAGATAATAAACTTACTTCTGAGACATTAAACTTGAAACTTCTGAGACATTAAACTTACTTCTGAGACATTAAACTTACTTCTGAGACATTAAACTTTAAACTTCTGAGACATTAAACTTACTTCTGAGACATTAAACTTACTTCTGAGACATTAAACTTGAAACTTCGGAGACATTAAACTCACTTCTGGGACATTAAACTTACTTCTGAGACTTTAAACTTACTTCTGAGACATTAAATTTGAAACTTCTGAGATAATTTAAGAGGGCTTATTATCAAAGACAAGGTCGAGGGGGGTACTTACCCCTTACCCCCCCCCTTTTTATACGCCATTGATTGAATATCAGGTTATCGTAAGAATCTATATGAGGCCTACCACAAACTTAATAACTATTTAAATTAAAAAATCAGAGTTAAAAAAATATGATTATTTGTTTTTAATCATCCTGACCGAAACAATCTCAAGAACTGAAGAGGGTCAACCCAGACCAAAATATATTATGTGGAACTAACATGTACTTTTTTTACTCTACAGAAGTTTGGTCCATCACCATCAAGATTTTAAATCAAGCATTGTTTTTACAAAATACTATATTACCGCTCGCAGTGTTCATGTTTTAGGTGGAAAATAAGTGAAAAAACGTGAAACAAAAGCAAATATTATCTGATACCTAAATATACCTTTAAAGAAAAACATGATTTGCGGACTTTATTTTCGTTTCAAAACAAGTGTTGTTACAAAGATGATAGATTTGGTGTTATTATAGTCGTAATTTTGTTAAATTCAAGTCTTGTGTTACTAGAGGTAAACTTGGTATTTCTTAATTAAGCTGGCGAGATGATTAGGGGAGGGGGTTAATTGTGTTGGTTATGTTCGTGGTCCGACCAGGGAGGGGAGAGGGGAGCTTCATTTCTTTCTTTTCAAATAATTTGGTTTACAAAATTTAAAAGTAGTTTATAGCTGTGGTTAAACAAAAAACAGGTTTTGACAATAAAAAAGCGTATCAACTCAGTTTCGACTTTTTGGACCTGAGGAAAAGTAGACATACAGAAAACAAGGGAATATAAAGAGTTGATAATACGATTGGCTGCGATAATATCAATACAATGAAGTCAAGTTTTTCTTATTTAAGTTTTATTGTTATCAAACCTTTTTCCTTATTGCCAGTTTACATTAAAGATAAGCTTTATAATTGACAGCCTCCTTTTCTTTCAGTTTTATTGTGCCTGTACTGTTCCTAAATTAAATTTACAATCGAAAACCGTTTTCATTGTAATGAGTAATTGGCTTACCACCGGTGGAATTAGTAATAAGTCTGGTTTTTGATAAAATGTTACAAAACGAATTTTTCACTAAGTAACCTATCAAGGAATCTTTACGAGAAATGGGTGTTTGTATGTATTGTACAATGTACAGGCCCTCTCCCGGGTCTAACACACTATTAAGTCAAATCTCAATTTTAAATCCGTTTTTGGCTCAAAGGTTTTTGGAATTGTCACTGTATTCACGTACGAAAAAGGATTTGTTTTACCAAATTAATTAGGTTCGAGCTAGAATTTCAAAAATTGTTAGTTAGGTGGCAACAGAGAAATGGAACAAATATACACGACGTCTGAATTGACACTTATGACGACAGAATACAGCTGTTCTGAGAGTGTACAAATTCTATGTTGCCATCTATTGTACTAGAATCTATTTGCGTTAGCGGAAGAGAAATTAGCTCTGAAAATTTATTACAATATTCAAGTAAGTTCGTGTAAACTATCATTTCTGGAATAGGCAGGAAAATTATCAATTATTCCTAAAAGATAATGGCTGAGATAATGGATTTAGTAAAAGAAATTATCCTAAACATTTGGTGGGTCCAAAAAATAGTTCTGCCTCTGTAATTTGGCTAGCTGCAAAAAACATCCAAAACTTTCATTTATTTTTATCAAAGTATGATTGAAGGATGGACAAGGAATGGAAGATCAAGAAGAAAGAATGAAAAACAAGAAATTTAGAAGTCTCAAAATGTTTCCATCTGATATCATATTGAAATTAAAAAATATTGTAAAATTTAATTAAAATAAATTAATTAAGTTAAAAAAGAAGTAAATTACAGGGAGCCCTCTCCCCCCCCTCCCCTAGGCTTTCCCACCTTTGTGTAAACGTGCATTTAAAACTCAAATTTTAATCACTTCATGAAGGTAAACCTTGCATAAACCAGACGTTTGGAATAATATCCTTTCTTTTTTTAATTTCATTTGTTGACGTAAAATTTTGAGGTTATCAAAACAATTAGTTTAACCCTGATTATAGTTTTATATGACAGGGTATTAAGTTACACCGGGCGGGGTACACTGATGCACAATTTTTTTTAAATAATTGAAAATTCTAAAACAAGTTTAAACAGTCCTGTTCTTCGGTCCGTGGGAAAAGTGTCTTAGGGGGTAGAATAAAGTGTTGCAAACAATCAATAAAGTATTTTTCGTGAAGAACCTAACTGTTTAATTTACCCTCTTTTCTTGTGGGGATTACTGTATACTATATCACGATTTTTTTTTTTGGGGGGGGGGGGACGAACACTTTTTTATAATTGTGAAAATAAAAAAAAATTAATAGTAATATTTTTGCTTAAAAATAAGTGGTCATGTACAAAATTTATTTCGGAACAAAAAATTCAGATTTAGGAAGCAAAAGACGCGGCACAAGCGAAATTTTATTTGAATTTCCAGTTTTACACTAGGTTTTCTTTCCTTTCAGTGCTATTGAGAAGCTATTCTGAAATCTCAGGGGGTGCGATGGTCCTGCCCCCCCTGTATCCGCCCCTTTTTTCTTCACTCACCCTGTATAGTGTATAGCATATGGTAATAGATAGATAGATAGTTTAAACCAAATAGATTATCAAGCACACAATAAGAGAAATGAACAAAGTATACACAACATCACAAGTGTCAAATATAACAAAGAAAACGAAATTGTCTCAGATTAAATAAAAACAGAAACTAACAAAATACATAAAATTGCACTTATTTTACTGTAAGAAAAGCACTTTATTCTAAAATTATCACTATTATTGATAATTTTGTCGGACACAAAAACTGAATTGACACTTGTGACGACAGAATACAACTGCACTGAGAGTGTACAAATTCTACGTTGCCATCTATTGTACTTAACAATCTATTTGGTTTAAACTATGCAAAAAGATTAACGACCCATATCATATTGGATAATCTCCAAACTTGAAATCCAAAATAAAAACAATTATTATCAGTCTAAATTGTTTGATCAGTTAATTAAAAACAATGTTCAGTTTAGCCAAACTACAAAATTTGCAGCTCTGTGAACGATAAAAAATTCTGTAGGTCACCTTAAAAAAAGGACGAACTCCTGGATTTATTACTTACTATTTGTTTATCTAAGAAAAATGGCTGAGAGCTCACTTCACAATAAAATAGCAACTGAAATGTGATCACATTGATTGAATTTTACTTGTTCACTTGATCACCGCCCGGTGGTCCAGAACTAGACTAACTACTAACTAAACTATAAGTAACTACTGGAGTCTGCAGTCTGCACCAGGCACAGCGTAGGCTCTACTCTAACTGTGTGGTGGGTAGACTCTACTCTAACCGTCTGAACGGATCAATACGAGTATTTGAACGGATTGAAACCGATTAAAAAATCAGTCTTTCCCGCTACTTCCGCACCCCGCCTTCAATTCTTTCAATCTCCACCCCACATTTACCCCCAATAGAATCAGATTCAGTACTACAAAATTGATTTTCGCCTTATATAATATATATATATATATGGACCCTCACAGTATAGCATGGTGAAATAAAACCGTAACACTACACATCAAAAACTGCGCTGTAGGGCTAGCCTAGCCTAAAAACGAGAGTTTCAGAAGGATATGGAACTAAATACAAAAACAAACAGACACTGAGACAATCTTATAAATATTTTGTGATAAATTACAAGATTTTTTATCGCAGTGGGACGGATACGGAAATTTACAAGAGAGAAACATTTCGAACTCTAGGAGAGAAACGAGAGAACTACTACTAGAGACAACAGTAAATAAATCTTTACATATAGTTGAAGTTTGGGTGATAAATTAACTAAGCTTTCCTTCTTAATCTATATATCTTTACTTTACCCGCGCTGCCCAGTTTACTAAAAATTACTCATGCCGTTTACCCGCACTTGAACGATTTTACCGGGAAACTAAATTTTCGCTATTAAAGTCTGTTTCTGTCTGTCTGTTTTATGTTTGTATCCAATAAACGGCTGAACCGATCGTGCTTAAATTTTGTGTGTGACCTCACATGACCCCAGGGAAGGTTTATAGATAATCAAACTTTCAAAAATTTGCTACCAACAAAATTTTTTTTATGAAATCCGTGCACTTTTTTTGTTTTGTTTTACTGTTAATACAAAGAGAAAATGTTACCAATTAAAATATAAGACAGCCTAGTATCGATATTCTTTGTTTATCTGTCCGTTTGTATCCAATAAAAGCCAAAACGGCTGAACCGATCAGACCCAAAATTTGTGTGGGACCTCACATAACCAAAGGAAATGTTTATTATAATCTTGATTTGTCTGTTGGTTTGTATCCAATAACGGCTGAACCGATAAAAATTAAAATCATTATTTTTGAAAATGTGCAAATTTAAATTGAAAATCCGCCCAAATTTTATAATTATTTATTTTTAATGGGACAACAACTTTCTATCATAATATCGAATTTTCCGATATGGAGTCCCTAATGAAATCACATTACATGGAACACAAAAAACAAAGATAAGAAATTTACTAACTGAACCAAACCAAACCAAACCAAACCAAAGTGACAAACTTCAATCTGCCAAAACAAAGCATATTGTGTTAATCGATTGTAATTGTTGCGTAGATTTGTCCACAAGATAAAAACTGGAACCATGATGAGAGCTGTAGGACCTAAGAGCGTTTTGGGACACCCTGTATTTTTCTTAAACCCCAAGTTGACCCATGGCACCTGCCAATTCAACTAAATCATGATATTATTACAAGTAATAATATCTATGAAGACCCAAAAATGATATCACAAAACAGCTGTCCAATGTTTTTAGGGTGTAGAGAAGTCTTACTTGAAATAAATTCTAGGTTCACTGAACCTCCATGGTAACAGGAAAACAACACGTGTAAGATAAACAATATTTTGCAATACAAACCCTTCAAAATTAGCGAAGTATTAAAGGAATATGAATAACCCGCTTGAGTTTGACCATTAAAGATTAAATTAAAGATTAAAGGGCGTGTTCGCGAAAAATGAAAGGGGGTTAAGGGGGGATTGGAAAGCTTACGGCGAAAAATAAGCGCATTTGATAGCTACTAATCTTACTTCTATCTGTTCCGTATATAAGGAGAAAATTGTTAAAAACGACTCATGCTGAAGAACGTAGCGTCCATACAAATTCAGAAAGTTGCAATATTGAACTAGGATTGTAAAATAATCAATTTAATTCCAAACAAATCATTCAGATATGACAACCAATAGTCATAGATTATTTTAGATTAGAAGCGATCAAAATCGCTTATTTTTCGCCGTAAGCCTATACCCTCTTTAATTTTTCTCGAACACTCCCTTTAGAGGGACTGTGAACGTAATTTCACATGGCTCTCCGTAGTATATCAACCATATTTCTCATTGAAAAATTGGAAATTTTCAATTGTGATTTCTGTACATAAAAAGCTTGAAAAACGGCAAATATTCCTTATTATTGATCAATGTTTGTAAATTGAACAACCATCTCTCTTTAAATGGAAGGTCCCGTTAAAGATTAAAATTTTTAAGACCTAGAAAGAAATGGTATCCTGGGAGAAAAACTAAATCTTAATTGAATGTGGATGATTAATTTATTTCGACTGTTTGATTAAAATATACTTAATAATAATCTGACGGGAATAAAAATCTTCTAAAAAATCTTCTAGAAATGTCTTTAACCCAAGGTAGTATAATAAGGTAGCTTACTCTCGATGCGCTCCAATGTACGGAAAATGTCGTCTCCTTAGCATAGATAGATAGAATCTGCATATGACGTCACTCTCGCACCTATAATCAGGCAGTGACGTCATATGCAGATTCTATACAATGCTAAGGAGAGGACATTTTCCGTACATTGGAGCGCAATGAGAGTAAGCAACCTTATTATACAACCTTGCATTAACTCCTACCTGTGGTAGACGGTTACATCCACATTACAAATATCTCCGTTCTGCAGAGGTCGCATATCAGGGATACCATGACAAATAACCTTAACAAGTTTTTTCTTAATTTCAAGATGTTCTTTCTTTGCGTCAACCTGTCATCCCAAATCTTTAGCATCACCGATTCAAAGTTGGATTCATGAGGATTTGAACTGGTTGTATGTAGTTCAGCCAACTCTCCAATATAATATTCGGTCCCAGATCTGAGATTTGTTTTCATTAATGCCCTGCTTTGATGCCTTTCATTTATATCAATAACTTTTTATAGAAACTTTAAATCAACGATAGACTGGCATGATGTAAAAAAAAAAAAATTCCGCAAGTATTTTAGCACTTTATTATTAGTCCATTTTCCTTTTTATTGGAATGTTTTTCTAAACGATAGCTTAATTAAACAGAAAATTTACATAGTTAAATCAGGGTTAGAATTATTTTAGTCAATTTAGTGTTAAAAAAGAATACTTTTGATTTATTTAATGTGGTTCAAATATGCGAGAAAAAAAATTAAATCTTTTACTCATCTAAAAAACTCCTTAAACTCCCCCCCCCCCACATATTGACTTAAAATAATAATAGTGATAGTGATAGTGATAGTGATAGTGATAGTGATAATATTATAAGATCTGCAAGGGAACCCGAAGGCCAGTTGCGTATCAAGCAGCCACCTGCCACCCATACCGGTCTTATATTTATTTATTTATTTAACCCCTGTGCACTGTGCAGGTCCCCGGAATAAGGCCGGAAGGTTTACCTACTGAAAACGGTGGAAGTTGACGATAGGTTTTTATATTCTAAACTTGTTTATTTATTTTTTGAGAAAATAAAGCTAACTCACTAAGATTGTGATTTTGTTACAATATACATACATTTGTATAAAAAATACCAAATTAAAAAAATTGCAAACCAAAAATTGCAATCCGTTTTTAGTTTAATATGTCGCAAAAATATAGAATTTACACATTTCTAACTCCAAATTTCTTTTAAATATTATTCATTACATTAAGATTAATGAAAACAAATTATTTACAGAAAATAGAATATTTTATAATATGTTTATCAGAGCTAATAAATCGTTATATGTGCGTAGAAAAGCTCTGAACTATATATGTAAAGGGTGTCTTCCAAAAAACGGGGAATAATGGTCTACAGACTCGCTTGTAATAGGATTTTCAAGACCATTTTTAAAATCTACATACAATTTCCGATTTAATAAGCCCAATTTTATGCTTGTAGATCTAAAAATAACAATTTTATAGGCTCCTATAGTATCCAACTGGAGTGAGTAATTTGGTAAAAATAAGATAATCTGTGTTTGCACAATTTTGTATAATGGTCTACTTGATTGTAATCGGATTTTAAAGATTGAGACCTTCTTTTAAATCTACACAATTTCCGATTTAATGAGTCCAATTTTTGGCTTGAATATCTAAAAATAACAATTGTATAGGCTCCTAAAGTTTCCAACTGGAGCGAAGTAAAAAAGTAAAAGATAATCTCCGTTTGCACAATTTTATATTCAATGTTATGTTACAGTTTAATACAGTACAATTGTTATTTTTAGATCTACAAGCCAAAAGTTGGGCTCATTGACTCGGAAATTGTACGCAGATATTAAAAATGGTCTCAATCTTGAAAATCCGATTACAAATAAGTCTGCATAGACCCTTATGTGCAAACGGAGATTTTTTAACCAAATTTACTCACTCCAGTTGAAAAATTTAGGAGCCTTTAGAATAGTAATTTTTAAATCTACAAGCCTAAAATTGTGCCTATCAAATCGGAAATTGTAAATTGATTTTAAAAATGGCCTCAATCTTGAAAATCCGATTAAAAACGAGTCTGTAGACCATTATACCAAATTGTGCAAACAGAGATTACCGTAAACTAACCAAAGAGTTTTCTGACTTAAAGTTTTATCAATGGTGAAATAGGTCAGGTTAGGTTAAAGTCGAATGGGGTTTAGACGTATTTATAATGGGGAGTCGATTTAAATAAGTTAAAACGCGATGAAAGTTATTTGATATTTTCGTAAAAACTACTCGCGATTTTCGTAAAAACTGCTCGATATTTTAGTAAAACTACTCGATATTCTCGTAAAAACTACTCGAGATTTTCGTAAAAACTACTCAATTATTAATTCGGATACTCTTTAGGTCTTCAGATCCACCATAGCATCATTAGGGAAGTCTTTGATAAATTTACCTCGTTAACAGATGTGCAGCAGGACTTAGGAAACTGGTAGTAGTTGAGAGGGGAGGGATAGCAATCTCTGTCTACGCTTGCCTCATGACATATTCTGTACAAATAATAATTGAGAGGGGAGGGATAGCAATCTCTGTCTACGCTTGCATCATGACATATTCTGTACAAATAATAATTCAGAGGTGTACAAGGTGTCTTTGAAAAAGGTGTGTTTATGCTTTTTTTTCTACTAAAAAGTTCATTAAGTATGTGCAATGTCCATAAATGAGGGGGGGGGGGGTTGTCAATGAATAATTTTTCTCTAAAATGCCGTTTTAACCTTCAAAAGCGGACCTCATGTTGGAAAATAAGCTCGGTCTCCTCAATTCAAATTATAATTTTATTTTTACGTTTTATACGACAAAATAGAATAAATTACACATTTTCAACGATAGAATTGAGAATTTTTAAAACATTTCGAGTCCATTTTTAAGGCTAAAACGTCATTTTAGAGTAAAATGTTTCGAGGACGACCCACCAAATTTTTTAACTTTGTACCGACAAGGTACACATTGTAGAAGAATAAAAAGACGTTTAGTAGTTGAAAACGTAATTAATGTCTTCGGAAATGGGACCGAGCACATTTTCGAATATTATGCCTAATTTTGAAGGTTGGTATTGCACCTACTTTAAGTACTTTTTAACACAAAACAATGATGTTAATATTTTAAAAAGCCTAAACACACTTTTTTCAAAGACACCTTGTATATTTCTTAGAAATGATTTTTGAATGATTATGGAAAAAAACGTCTCTACAAGTGTTTTCATTCTTTTTTATATAATTTACCCAAAAATCATTGTTTTTCCCCCTATTTTCCTTAATTCAGATTAAAAAACCTAAAAAATAAAACTAATGAAAAAAAAATTCTAAAATGGGGAGGGAAGGAGGAAAGGGAAGGTTAGAGAAGGAGGGATATAGACAGGTAGGGAAGAAAATAAAGGAAGGGGGGAAGGTTGGGAGGGAAAGAGGAAGGTAGAAAAGTAAGAGAAGGGAAGGAAGGGAAGGTATAGACGGAAATGGGAAGGCAGGGAAGGGAAAGGTAGGAGGTCTTTACCTCTACTTTTCTAACTTTTCCTATAAATCACACATTTATTCACAAATAATCATTTATTTTTCCAAAAAAAGTAAATATAATTCAGCATAAAAATCTAAAATAATATTTTTAATGGATGCAATAACCCCATTTACCTGTCTAATTCGTCTGTAGTTACACCGGGACCAATAGCCTTAGCTGCTTCATCCAAAACCTGGAATGAACTTGAATCAAATAATGATCCAATATGCCCAATCGAAATGTTTTCTTCTATGTCCAGAAAATTGTTCATTTAATTAATTTGGTTCAACAACCAAATATAGATTTTGATGATAAGAGTAATAAAGCCCGAGTTGAAAACACTAAATCTCTATATCCACTGTCGACAGTCGACAATTATGATTTTATGCTTAATCCTCTCTTTTTGATTTTCCGGTTGGATTGCAATCAATCAAAGTTCTATCATTGATTGCGTGCGCAAAATTAAAAAAAATTCTCAGCTTCTGATTGGCTCTTCGAATTCGGTTGCAATTAACACTTTGCTTGGTTGAATTTTATACATTTTTAAGGATAAAAACTTAAGATTAAATTAATCTTGAGATTAACAAAAAGAGATCAAGCATTGATCTCAATATCCACAAGTAAACAAGTAAAACAAGAGTTACCAAAGGTAAACATTCAGTAATCAATCAAAAGTGTTGCCAAAGGTTCATAAAACCTAAACAAGACCTTCTATATGTATATAGTATTAAACAGGGTTACAAAAGGTTTCTCAAAACGACTAACTGAAGTAGATTAATCCCTGTTTTACCTCTCTGCCAAGTTTACAGGCAACTCGCATAGCGGCAATATCATCATCATCCAACTGTCGGATATATGTGTTGCCCTAAACTCATCCGCACATTTCAAACCGGACAAACCAGAGTGAGCAGCATTCGGTTTCTTCTACTTTAAAATCAAACGTGTTTTGGTCTTTAATTCAATAATCGCTTACTTGACGGATTATTTTCTTTTATACATTTTTATTCAAAATGCATATGCCAACAAAAAAGTATTTAATAGAAAAGGCTAAAAGATTATGTTTAATGGGTCAAATTGTGATCGAAATTCACAGCTTTCTCGAATATTGACAGAACCGTTAAATCCACATGATTTACATAATTATCCATTAAAACCATTATTGAGTTTATTATTAAGAAAAGTTGAAATACTGTTTCAATCCAATATCATCATCATCCAACTGTCGGGTATATGTTCATCATCCTCACATTAACATGATTATCCATTAAAATCATTATTGAGTTTATTATTAAGAAAAGTTGGATTACTGTTTCAATCCAATAAAATCCATTCATTGAGGTTTTCATATAATTAATATAATCACCATTAAATTACCATTTCAACCCGTTTTAAAAATCCCTTCATTGAAGTTTTAATATAATTAATATAAACCCCATTAACCCTATTCTAACTAAGGGGGGGGGGTGGGAGGTGGCATAGCGACCCTGTCGATTTTTGCAATAACTCAACTAGTATTGGTCTGAGGCTGTTAATTTTTTTTTTGACTTTTCTAGTTAACTTTAGGCTAAAAGCTGGGCTTTTATACCTACTGCCTGAGTCCTCAGGCATACTGCTTGAATGCCTTATTAAAACTTTACCAGACTAAATCCAAATTAAACCTAATTCCAGTCATTTAAGATTTTATAGCTCTTTGGAAAGCTTACAACACGCAGAATCAGATTACTCAATTTCTGCAAAGAAATTTTGCGTAGATTTTTTGCACAAACGCCTTAAACGGGAATTTGCACAAATTTAGTCTTTCTTTAATACACATTTAGGTCATGAAAATTTTGAAAATGTTCTTGCATACTTTAATTTGCTGGGTCAAGGGCTTTTCAGAAATGTATAATTTATCTTAGTTCACGCACTTTTTGTGTTTGCAAATTTTTCGCTAAATACTTGATTTTCCAATAAATATTAAAAATTTTGCAAATTGACAAGGATATATTAATATTGAGAGATATACATTTGGAAGAGAATAGCAAGCTTTTTTTGCAGATTATTAAAGTGAAGCCCAAAGGCTTTTCAAACATGCATCATATGTTATAGATATGTATCAAAATTAGGAAACAGAGAATGTGACCTCCCACCCCCCTTGTATATTTTGGGTAAACCAGACTTCAGTCGGAATAGGGTTAAATTACTTTAGCCATTGTCATTTGTCTTATTGTTCTTAGTTCTTGTGTTTACACACAAACCAAACTAGTTCCACAACAGTTCAAGTATCCCAGTAAAATGTACGGAAATCCTATCCCCCTACCTTACATCTATAACACCTTGATTTCTACATTCTACAATGCCCAATGCAAATTTCAAAATATGAACTCTCTGTTCTAAAGTGGTCTAGGGTGAGCGTAATTTCAAGTGACCCTCCATGCAAAATGGTAAGAACCGATTACAACGGTTTCCTTAGAAGCTTTGTTTGATCAAGTATGATATACATATCGATGTTTTTGTTTCTTTAAACTATCTTCCACATTATTGATCAGATTAAGGTTTCAATGGTACCGTTGTATCGGGCATTGTCATCTTCGCTTGGAGGGTCACTAGAAATTACGCTGAACCAGACTCATAATAAATGAATGATATTGTTATGTGCGGACGGATTCCTTAAGTTTCATCTCTGAGAGCGGATACCCCTCTGGATGGTCAGCATAGTCGGGCCGAGGGATATGAGGAGGAACTACTCGTGTAGAACTCTGCGCGGCAGGTCGCAGTTTACCTAAACAATGTGAATCTATATATGCTTAAAAAGTAGTAATCTCCGTTTGTTCTAATGACTGGGCCGATTTGATTAAAAGTTGAGTACATTGAATTTTCCAGGCCAAGCTAGGTTGTAAGAAATCAATATGAGATGAAAAGAAATATATATTACAGGGTTACTCACTCATAGAGGATGAGACTTCAGAGATGACATAACGGATTTTATTTAAACATTTTTTATTTTTGGTTCACTTACACTGTAAACTTGTTTCTTTCTTTGCTGAAACTATTAAAGTACACCATTCAAATACAAAATGCAAGGCATAAAACAAAATTCAAACTTCAAATTCTACAGCTTTAGTTTAACATTTAAGTCTCATCCTTTGTGAATAACCCTGTAAAAAAGACTTTATTTTTTAATTTAGTACACAATGAAATTGTTTTTAAAAATGCAAAATTACGATTGATTTGTGCACTTATTTTTTTATTTAATTATCAAAAAAAAATTTGAATCAAATTTAATCAAATCAAACCAAAATCTGAAAGGTCACCCTAAAAGTGAAACCTTTGTCCCACCTGTGAAACTGTATCCTGGCCAGGGATTGAAGAGTCCAGCCCCCTTCTTACTGGACTGACTGGCCACATCACTCTTGGCGAGCTTGTGCAGGTTCTTATGCAGATCCCAGTTCCCCTTGAAGCAGGTCTGGTTACAGAAGAATGAACCCTAAAACAATGGAGAATGGTGATCTACGGAGTAGAAAATCCCCGAGTTTTGTTGTTATACTTAAGCTCTTGGATCTTGGCGCCCTAGCAACCCCTCTCTCGAATAACATGGAAAGTTTAAATTTGGAGTTAGAAGTGCGTCCAGCCGTTTGGCCGGCTATACGAAACATATATATAAATAAATGCCTTGTATTTTTATATAGACTAGCTGATGAGTCCGGAGTTACCCGTGTAAAATAACATTTTTTTTAATTAAAAATTTTTTTTTTTTAATTTAAGGGAAAAAAATTTCGATTTTTTTTTTAGCCTTATACACCCCGGCCACCCAAGAGTGTCCACAACAAAATTCAACCCATTCGGTCCGGCCGTTTGGCCGGCTTTACGGAACATATATATAAATAAATGCCTTGTATTTTTATTTAGACTAGCTGATGAGTCCGGAGTTACCCGTGTAAAATAACATTTTTTTAATTTAAAAAAAATATTTTTTAAAAATTTAAGGAAAAAAAATTTCGAATTTTTTTTTAGCCTACTACACCCCAGGCCACCCAAGAGTGTCCACAACAAAATTCAACCCATTCGGTCCGGCCGTTTGGCCGGCTATAGGCAACATATATTTATACGAATGTCTTATTTTATAATTAAGAAGAAAGGAGTAAAAACGTTTCTAATTTGCTTCTGTGTAAAAATGTGGATGGTGCAATAGGATTTAACATTTCCTATGGGGTAGATTCACACTCGCTTATGCTCGGAGTTTTGTTCACCTTGATTGCAAATAATTACCTGAATATTGAGTTTGATGCATGTTGGGCACTGAAGCTTAGCAGGCTCAGAACACCCCGGGGATTCACATGTTCTACCCTCCATAATACTAAATCTGAAACTGAGAGATATGGGTTCAATATGCTCTTCATAAATTCAAGGAGCTCAGTTCGGAGAGAAACTATGAAATCACAGTTGGAGACGGTTATTTAATTCCGATAATAAAATTCATCGGAAGGTTTGATTTACTCCAGGAACTGTTGGGTCTTGGGTTTGGAGAGCAGTTTTCCTCAACTGGAAGTTCAGTGATGCCGTTGACACAGTTACATCAGGTTGTGTTGGAAGGGATTTTCTTTTTATTAATTTTAGCAAATATATTATTAAAGGTTCTCGCTAGAATATACCGAGTTTAAATTTATAACTTCATTTGATCAGTAAAAATATAAAAATGTTTACATTAACTATTAAATCTTAGATTAAATATCCAAATTTTCCATATCATCTTCCAATTCGTCCAGGTCTTCGTCATCGAATAAATCTTCGTCTATGACGGTGGCCGAAGGGGGTGCGGCTCCTCCGGCCGCTCCTGCTTCTTCTCGAGCTCGAGCTAGTTGCACAGCAGTAGATTCGTCTACACCATCGTCCATGATGCCGTATTCGTCAAACTTGATTTCATGAACCTAGAATACAAGAGTTTTATCAGCTAATACTTATTACGATTTCATTCATAATTTATGTTTTGTCTTTTGTTAAAGCTAATAATGGAAAAATGGTCTGAGTTTAACGCTTGTCAGAATATGATAATCTTATGAGGAAAAAAATGTAATAATGGAAATTCTTAAACGAGATGAAATAATCTTGATGTATTCTTTAACGAAGGCCGCAGGCCTGAGTTAAAGAATGCATCAAGATTATTTCATCGAGTTTAAGAATTCCATTATTACATTTTTATCCTCATAAGATTATTATTATATCATATTTGTGAGGTTCCATGGGCACATACCCAAGAAATTATAGTANTTTCACGCTCTGGCCGTGTAATAATTTCCATTCTTACACGGTCTGAGCGTTAAAGAATGAAAATTCTACACCTACTGTGTAAGAATAAGCATTCTTAAACGCTAGAAAGCGAACAATATTAAAAGTGTTCCTCCTGAACCGTGTAATAATGGGAATTCTTACACGATAGGTTTACTACTATGGAACCGAACAGATATGATATAATAGAAAAACTATGATATTTTCAACATTAATTATTTTACCAGATAATGGTTTGGTATTTTTTTTAAAAATGAGTCACTGTTCTCAGCAGAAATTTATTTTCCATTGCAAATGATTGTTTTGTAAATATATATGATCTGAGTAAAATGTTAGTTAAGAAACAGTTGAAATATTTGTATGTCCCATTCTTGTTTAATTTGGCATATTTTTGTCAAACTATTTAGTAGATAAAGCTATAAAAAATAAACTAAACCATTAATATAGTTAAGTATATCTTTGAGAGCGAGTCCAGGGGCGGATACAGGATTTAAGTGAGGGGGGGGGGGGGGAAGATTTTTTAGGAACAAAAAAAAATTCATTATTAGGAACAAAAATTCGCGCCGTAGGCGAAAATTTTTTTTGACTTAAAAGACTCAAAAAGAGTCAAAATATTAATGACTAAAGACTAAAAAACTAGATTTTTAACTTTTCACACATTATAGTTTATTAAGACAGATATTATTCCTGTTTTGCACTATGGTTTCTTTCCCTTAAGCATGCTATTGAGAAGCTATTCTGAAAATAGGGACAAAAAATTCCAAATTCAGGGGGGGCTACGCCCCTCCCTGAATCTATCGGGGGGGGGGGGCGAATGTCTTTATCTTTATAATAATGACAAAAACCACAGTCCCTTTTAGTCAAACCGACCTTGACGCCGTAGTCGTCATCCTTCTCTCTCATGTTAAGATCAAAATCTCCACCCTCCTCGTCATCTCCGTCCTCTGTAGCCTGGTTGATGATGCTGGGATTAAACATGAACATCTCCTTCCCACTTAACCCTGTCGTTTTACCACTCTTCATATCAACCTTCTTCTTATCCTGGAATAATAACAAATCAACAAGTGAACAAGTGAACAAGTGAACAAGTGAACTAGTGAACAAGTGAACAAGTGAACAAGTGAACAAGTGAACAAGTGAACAAGTGAACAAGCGAACAAGCGAACAAGCGAACAAGCGAACAAGCGAACAAGCGAACAAGAGAACAAGTGAACAAGTGAACAAGTGAACAAGTGAACAAGTGAACAAGTGAACAAGTGAACAAGTGAACAAGTGAACAAGTGAACAAGTGAACAAGGGAACAAGGGAACAAGGGAACAAGGGAACAAGTGAACAAGTGAACAAGTGAACAAGTGAACAAGTGAACAAGTGAACAAGTGAACAAGTGAACAAGAAGTGAGGTCAACAAGTGAACGCGAAACAAGCCCAAAAAATATTATTAAATCTAACATAAATCATAGATAAATTGGTTGACGAACCGTCATGTTAATTTTTCGTCATGTTTCAACAATTTTAAACTACACCGTAAATATGACAATGAATAATGAATATCTTAGTGTGTAAAAACCCGTAATTTGAAAATATAATCAAATCTATGAGCAAAGAATACTTTATCTTGGGTAAATTCATTGAATAAAAAAATATTATGTACAAAATAGTTATTAATCATAATAGGGGCTGCTAATTTAATTTCTAAAATATACCTTGAGTTTCTTTTCGGCGTCAGCTTTCTCTTTTAATTTCTTTCTCTTCCAAGCAACGAAGGTTTCTAATGTGACTTTAGTAAGAGTTCCAGATGAGAGCGTTGCTCTCTCCTTCTCTATCAAGTCCTCGATACTAATCTCCTCCTTTTCCTTATCCATCCTCTTCTTATCCTTCTTCAAGACGAACCCTGGGGGCAGAGCATGTTTATACTTGCAACCTTTGGCCTGGCTGGGGCACTCCCAGAACCAACCGTATTTATTATTCTCCAACGCGTCCAGGAAATATTTACAAATAATGTCCGTGGCGTTGGATTTCTCCGTTCCATGCTTTTTAGCCACGACTTCGGCCAGCTTCTCGTCGTCCCACTCGTCCATGTTCTCCTCATCCTCGTCCTTCGTTTCTTCGTACACGTTACGCTTCACGGCTTTACGTTCACAATCAGGGTCGTGGGAGAACTTACAGCGGTCTCCCTTCTTACACAAACCTTGCTTGAAGAAAGCACAGAACACAGACTTGGGATCAACACCAGCATCCACCTAAAAGAAAATTGTGATTAACAATTTAATAAAGGGACATTTCCACCATCAACAAATATTAAAACATTGGTTAAGCTTTCGGAGAATTGGGACTATAATTCCTAATTCCAAAAGTTCGTCTTCAGATTAAATTAAGTTTTACGATTTACCAATCATCTTTAAAGAAGATGAATTATTTTTTCAAGGAATTAAAAATTAAAGATTAAATCAAAATGCTTACTTTAGATGTGAATATAATTATGAGTAATAAAAAAAATTTATTTAAAAATAGAAGATAAAAAAATCATGAGCAATAGAAATATCAAATAAAAAGTTCGTTTACATAGAACTGTGACGTTTAAGAACAGCCATGGAACTAATTAAAAATATTATTAAACAGAAATAGCCCGGTTCCGGTTCTCCTACCCTGATTAGGAAATCCAAGCTTTGTTTAAAATTATTGTTATCTTTGTATATAAAGTTGTAATCTCTGTTTGTATGTCTGTTTGTCCTATCACAACTCAGGAACCCCTGGGCCGATCTGTCTCAAATTTTGATTGGGGAACTCGGGAGACCCATGGGAACGTTCTTAGCTTGGTTTTGAGGTTATAAGTTGAGTGGTTCTACTTTAATAGCGAAAATATAGTTTCCAGGTAAAATCGTTGAAGTGCGGGTAAACAGCGGGAGTATCTTTAGTAACCTTGGCAGCGCCGCGCTGGGTACACAAGCTATTTGTTTTTAAAAGAACTAGTTCTAGATCTCAGTCCTACTATGTCACAAAAAATGAAACAACTCATTTTACCTTCTTCATGGTTCAATTTCTTATTGCTCTGGTTTGATCCGATTTTTTCTTTAAAATTTAATGTTATGCTTCAGTCTGTTAAACCTACCTTCTGTGTGGCAATAGGTTTGAAGAGGGCCTTAACTTCCTCCTGTCTCTTTCTGGAAACAAAAAATAATTTTAAAAAATATCAGAAGAACTGAATGTGTTACGTAACATAAATGAAAGAGAGGAAGAAGTTACAAATAAAAAATAAAAAAAAGTAAATAAAATTCAGAAACAATAATCGAAAAGGATATGAATAAAAAAGAACCACTGAAAACAAAATAGAAGATATGGAAGTTATAAATTACACTAAGATTATATACAAAGATCCCAATTCCCACAAAAATTTATTTTATATTTATCAAACATGTTTATAAACATGAGTAAATACTAGAGCAGAGGTTATGCATTTACTTGATAAATCGATCCATTGAAAATAGTTATTGTTTAATGGTTTTTTAAGGTGAACTGGGCCAGGAGAATAAGAATGAAAGGAGGAAAAAATTGACAATAGTTCTTATCCCAGTGCATCAAACATATAACCCTGGACTAGAGAAACCTTAACCAATCTAGTAATTGATATTTAAAGTTGTAATTGTGTTTGTATTTCCGATCACAACTCAGGAGCCCCTTGACCGATTTTCCTCAAATTATGAAAAGGAAACTCCTTGGAGATCCACGGAAATGTTTCAGTTTTGACTTGACATTCTGAGTCGAGTGGGTAGCCTTTTATGGAAAAAAATAGCTTAAATTGTAATATAAGACCAAGCGCGGGTAAACGGCGGGAATAAATATGAGTAACTTGAAAATTCGGTGATGGTGATGGACCAAACCTCTGTAGGGTAAAAAATTAGAGGTTAGTTCCACATTTATCGAAAATATATTTCGGTCTGGGTTGGACAACGCCGGGCTGTGTTCATAAGCTAGCTAATAACAATACAGGATGAAAACTTACGCTTCCTCTTCCTTCTTCTTCTTCTCTTCTGCTCTGAGAAGCTCCGCCTTCCTGTGCTCCGGGTTACCCCCGGCCTTCACCTGCTTCTCTACCTATACAACCACGTTGAATAAGGTTATATAAATGTGGTCTGTCTAGACAATTAGACGTGACATTCAAACATGAGTCAAAACTTGTCCCCAAAGCAATCTGAAACTATAGTTGCAAAAAAAATATTTTACTTCTCAAAAAAAGAAAGTATTCACATAATATATTTCTAATGAAAATTTTAATTGATGAATTTACCTGAGCGATGAACTTTTGAGCTTTCCCTCCTTTCTTGTTCTTTAGGCCAAAAGTCTTATCTTCAATTGTCTTTTCTTTTTTTTTCATTTCATTTTTCTTACTCGGCCCATTGGCCGCAGGTTTTTTAGGCGGCATTGCTAACAACAGAAATTAGAAAATTGACCCAGTAATCTGAAAATATAATTTGACTTATTTTATCTAAATAATTTTCTGTCATTAAAGATAAAAATAGAAAACAAAATAGCTACGTTCATAACTATTCCCTTCGCGCATGTGGATAAGCGCTAAAAACTGGAATTGCCGCAAGAGATTGTAGAATTCTGGCAATGTTTTAACGAGGCCTTCATCAAAAAAGAACTTTTCTTTTTTTAAATATTAACAATTAACTCGTTCATTTTCTTGAAGAAAAATCATCTTTCCTCCTCAAACAATATTTCGGATTATTTGCATTCAAAAATATTATTAGCCCTGCAAGAATCTACCTTTTTGTTTTTGATTTAAACCAATTTTAATCACCATTTAAAAATGCAAAATTTATTTTAGACATAGAAAATCTTTTAATGTTTTACTTTTTTCTGATTTTATTTTAAACATTATTCTTTTCTTGTTTTATGCCTTTTATAATTTGTTGTGTTCTGACACATCCGTAAAAACTGAGTGCCGTAGACCAGAGCTTTGGAATAAAAATGTCTACAAGAGATGTTTTAGCATTAAATTGTAATACAATCATATTAACAATGCAATATTAGAAACAATTGAATACCAGCTCTTTTGGTTTTTATCAATTTAAAACTACTTTTTTGCTTCCTTAAACATTTTTTGTGAGAGGTTTCGTGGTTTTAAATTTTGATATTGGCGCCAGAGAGATACAGCTTTCTTCTTGTCGTTCCTTCAATATTGTTTACGCTCACACAAACTAGTAAAATTTTTAAATGTTCTTGAAGACAGCTTCTCCTGTCAGGTTTGTGTTTGTATTTTTAGTTAATGTTTTTTAATACAGTTAAATGTTAAATTAGAAAAGATGGCTAGAGAATCCGGAGACGATTCTCTGTATCCAATTGCTGTTCTCATCGACGAACTCCGAAATGAAGATGTTCAGCTCAGGTTAGACAAAATTTTACAGATTACACATTTTTAGGTGGAAATCTCTTACTAGGTATTGTATATGATATATGATTTATTTATGATATTTTAATTATGATGATCTTAGGTTACTTGTTGTCTATATAACATCGTCTAATTAAATGGTTATTTTGTATATTTTTTGATTATGATAATGATCAGGGGTTGAAACTTTTGCGTGGAGTATCGTGTTCAATCTTGAATGTTTAATCTCGATATTCAATGTTCTATTTTAAACTTATAAGGATCTTAAATCAGAAATCATTCCATAAGTCTATTTTTTTTTTATCAATTCTTAACGTATTTTACACGGAAATGCCTATTTAATAACATGCATATTGCAAATAGATTTCTATGAATGAGATCCACGAGAATGATTTGGACCTCCGCCCCCCTTCATCAAAAAATGTACATGAGACGTTAAACATGTGGCCGCAGCGCCCGGCCCTCTTGCCTGTTCTCGCCTTGGCGCTCGGCCCCTAAGTCTGTACCAGCCGCAGCGCTCGGCCCAGAACCTAACCCAGAAATAATACAAATTTAATGTTCATTTTTTTCTGGTTGGAGTGGGGGTACTCAAATTCTTCTCTAGGACCAAGCCCACTAGAAAGTACTCTAGCATAACCTTTCCAAAAAAAATTCATTGTTAGGGTCAGAAATTTAATTTCCAATTGTCATGCTGCTCCTAGATAAGATATTAACGACACTATTATTTTTCAGATTGAACTCGATAAAGAAGCTCTCGACGATCGCACTCGCACTCGGAGTTGAGAGAACTCGTTCCGAACTCATTCCTTTCCTCACCGATACAATCTACGACGAGGTCAGTATTTTATTATTTTAAATATACTTTGTTTAGCTCAGTGCTTAGAATCCGGATCCGTTGGATCCGCAATAATATGCGGATCCACGGATCCGGATCCAAGGGAAAACATTTTAACCAAAAACTTAAAAAATCTAATGTTTTACTCCTAAAACCCAAATCTAAACTTTTGAAATAGAGACTAAAAAAATTTCCTCATTTATGAATGGTTCATCAAGTTTTAGGATAAAATAAGCGAAAAAAATACAACATAAAATTCGAAAATTATTTTTTGTTAAAAAATTTAGTAAATCTTGAATAAATATTCATAATCAGCATGAACGTTCTTGTAGAAACCATACTAAGGGTACTTTGGTCAATCGAGCAAGCCCCTCTTTACATGGAGATTTAAAGAATTGGTTGTGTTATATATGACATAAATACCCCCCCCCCCCTTTCTTCAGCTTATGTATTGTATATCATGATTTCTTCGGTGACACATTGTTTATAGAATTCTGTGTTGGAAACATGATATTGTCTTATGTTATCTGATGCTCTTTCTAGATACATTTGCACTTTGCAGTCTTTAGAAGTAATAATATGTAACTTCTAAATATTCCATTTTAAAAATGTTAAGATAAGTTGATAATTTATAGGTGTCATAGAAAAATTCTTGCGAGTGAGTGAACTTTTAATAAACCAGTTTTTATCCTTTGTTTATTTTTTCATGAATTTTAAAATCATTTCCAGACATATTTAAAATTAAAAAATGAATTCATAAATTTTAGTATACACTACAGGGGGGGGGGGTGGATTATTTCGAGTATTGAAGGGGAATTGTTTTTTGTTTTTTTAAGAACCCATATTTCTATCAAATAATTTTTCTCATGGTCAGGATGAGGTTTTGTTGGCTCTTGCTGAGCAGCTCGGCACCTTTACCCCTCTGGTAGGAGGGAAGGAACATGTTCACTGTCTCCTCCCTCCCCTCGAGTCCCTCGCTACGGTCGAGGAGACCATAGTCAGGGACAAGGCGGTCGACAGCCTCAGGAATATATTCAATCAATCAATAAACTAATTATCATTAGAATGTGCACTGTGCAGTAGCAAAACTAAATTATTATCAAAAAAAATGCTAATTTAGAAATTATTTAGAGAAAAAATTCAAAGGTAATGAATTTTGAGAGGAAATATTAAATCATTGATTTATTAATTTTGAATAATATTAGAACTATTGCCGAGGAACATTCTCCACAGGATCTAGAGGATCATTTCGTGCCCCTTGTTAAGCGTCTCAGGTGGGTGCAAGGATTTAATGCAAGGAAAGTTATTTCAGAGGTGTACGCATCTTTTGTACTGCAGTGTACTGTCACTGGGCGGTAATATAAACACAAAACAGATGTCGAAGCCTGACATGGGATCCATCTTTCACATAAATAATCAATGAAATATTCTGGTCATAGGAAACTGTTATGTGAATTATCAAAATGCAATGCTTTTAACCTTCTCGGATACAAAACGAACACGGAGGCATCCATTCTTGTTTACAAATTCCGCTCAGAGAGAACTGGTTTCAATATGTACGCAGAGTATACGCAACTACAATCAACTTTCCTTGCATTACATTCTTGGGTAGGTGTCAGTTTTAGAAATATTCTTTTGTAGTTCCAGGGGAACATATTATTCGAAGTTAAGTTGAAAACTGTTAATTGAAGGTTTGACTTTATCTCAATCTTTTGTCGCGGGGTAAATAGCAGATTTATTGTGGCCGAATAAAGAAGGTTGTTCTCTCCGCGAGGATTTGATTAACCCCATTTCTACATATTTTTATTTTTATTTCAGTGGTGGAGATTGGTTTACAAGTAGGACCTCGGCTTGTGGACTCTATGCTTGTTGCTATGCAAGGTTAGTTTTAATTTTTATCTTGCGCTTTTTATCTTGAATCTGGACAAACTCATTCAAAATAAGAACTTGATGGAAAAGAATAAACAATTTTAAAATAAAAAAGTTTTTGTTTAAATTTTCTACAAAATAAAATTCCTAAAAATAATTTTTGTTTAATGCAAATTTCTTGAAATACATTTTCCTTGATAACAATTAAGACCTGACGAAAAGATTTATCAGATTTGGTTGATCCATGTCTTAAATATCCTTGTGGGTAGTTGCCCTGCGGCTAGGACTTTTGGGGAAATGTATCATTTACTCTCAGAAAAACTAGAACCAATCGAAATTTAAACCCCCAAGGGATTTTATAATAAACACGAGGGTGAAGTTTTTTTGGTATGCAACAATTTCCATTGAATCCTGCTAATCTTAAAACTTATTTATGCAGGTTCATTTTAAAACGAGCTTCTTATGAAGATATAGTAAATTGATAAAACTGGCCTGTATACTGTTTATTGATCTCTTGAGTGCTTTAGTCCCATGCTTAGTCTGTAATTTAAAACAAATATTAATATTCACAGGGTAAACATAAACCCACAGACAACCATTCTTATCTGGAAGCAAAGATTAGTAGTACTTTCCCTGCTTGTGATTATGTATAACATCCACAAGTACAAATCACAACAGTATTACTATACACAGAGATACAGATTAACATTCATACTATTTCCTTTCCGGATATTTCTGTAGGCGGTCTAGGTTGCCCAAGATGGGGCTTCTTGCAGATCTCATCTCACATATCATATATTGCATACAGATACACAGATATACAGATTAATAATAATTTCTTTCTGAAAGTAGCAAACATTCTGCTGTATTGTTTGATAGTCTGAACTTGTAAAGAATTATTATTATATTTTTAGGGTTTCTTCCGGAGTGAAGGCAGAGTTGAGAACTATGTTTAGGAATCTCTGCCAGGAATGTGGAATCTTAATCCGGAATATTTTATTCCTTTTTTAATTAGTATTCTTTCCCGCTGTTTCACTGTTTATCCGTTATTTATTTATTTATTCCGGTATTCTATAGTTTATTCCGTTATTCCATTGATTATCCCTTATTTACCTGCTGTTTATTTCTATTATCCTAGCGTTTATTCCGTTATTCATCCATTGTTTATTTCTATAATTCCACTGTTTATTTCGCTATTCCACTGTTTAATCCGTTATTCCACAGTTTATTCCGTTATTCCGTGCTGTTCATTCCAATCCGTTATACCCACTGTTTATTTCTATTATTCAGCCGTTTATTCCAATATTCACCCACTGTTTCTTCCGATATTTCACTAATTTTTCCGTTTTTCTTGAATCCTAATCCTAAAGTAATCAATCTTTGAAGTTAATTCTGTCGAAAAATGAGCTTATGTCAACCATCAAGAATTTATAGCTGTAATTTGCCCTGAGAAGAGAAGTGCGGCCATCTTTATTAAATGGATTTAAAGTAACAATGTCCGTCCGTGTGCTATGGTAGTTCCGTCTGTACATAAGGTTCAATATAAGCAGGATGATACACCTATGGTCCGGCGTGCTGCCAGCGGAAAACTAGGAGAGTTTGCCAAGGTTGTAGAAGTGGATTATCTTAAATCTGATCTTGTTCCCCTCTTCGTTAATCTTGCTCAGGTACTTGAAGGGATTTCTGCGTATTTTTAGCTAAAAAGATACCATCCCAATTCACTACGGTACTCGGCATTTAATCAATCGACGTCAAAAATTTGCCGAATTTTTGTCATCCTTCCAATTGCGAGACTAAAATTAGCAAGTAGTTTTCTAGAATTTTTAGATATCTGTTATTTCATTAATTCGCAGTAAGAATTTATTTTGAGAAAAATTGTTACTTGAATAATAAATATTTTTAAAAGATTCTGTATTCATACAACTTATTAAGTATCACTGCTCAGTGCTCAAAACATCCGGTCTCAATCTGTGTATAGTGCTAGACTTTTAAAGAAATGATTTTTTAAGATTTCTGGGTTCTAATCCTGAATTATAATCTAGGATGAACAGGACTCTGTCCGCCTGCTTGCTGTAGAAGCTTGTATATCTATTGCTGGTATACTCCAACATGAGGACAAGGAACAGCTTGTCCTCCCAACCCTCCGCCAGTGTGTAGAGGACAAATCTTGGAGGGTCAGGTAAACATTTTTAGATCAATTAATTTTGTTTTTAAGTTCATGATCCAGGAATCCTACCCAACTCTTCAGATATTCTCCACCCCTCTTCCCATCTTTTCAAATATTACATTATACTATTATTTGCGTGATTTTTTGCACGATCGATTAAAGTGACTTTAAACTTTAACACTCAAGGATTCGTCCTTAATTATTCTACCAAATAATGGGACCTTCATTAGTAAAACCATTGGCGTTTGTTCTATATTATTTTTAAGCTACAAATTTGTTCACTGGTAGTGAGTAATCAAGTGTTCTTTCCTTCTGATTAATTACTTAATACATATTCTGAAAGGTTTCTTATCCTAGGTTTATGGTTGCGGATAAGTTTACTGAACTACAGGCTGTTGTAGAAAAATGATTACTTAATACGTATTCTGAAAGGTTTCTTATCCTAGGTTTATGGTTGCGGATAAGTTTACTGAACTACAGGCTGCTGTAGGAAAAGAAATTACTAAAACCGACCTGGTTCCAGCCTTCCAGTCCTTACTCAAGGTATAAATTAAAAACTAAAGAAAATATTTCCATCATTTATACTTTGAACAAATGCCTGGTTATCCATAAATTGGACTTGGTACAAATTTGGTCGTTTAGTTGGGAACTACGAAAAAAAACTTGAACTTAACTTTTTCAAAGAATTCCGGACTGAAACTCCAAGAACTGAAAAGAACTTAACAACTTGCGATTTTGTTTTAGCTGATCAATTGAAAAGATGTTTGATTAATTAGAAAAATAATTTTGACAAACATATACATGAATCTGTGGAATATGAAAACTACATTTATACAATAACATGTGTATTTGATAAAACCATATAAATACAGAATACAAATCTTGTAACATTGCTACAGAATAATATTTTATACAATAACATGTGTATTTTATAAAACCATATAAATACAGCATACAAATCTTGTAACATTGCTACAGAATAATATTTTATCAGGATTGCGAGGCGGAGGTACGCGCTGCCGCCGCGCACAAGATGAAGGAGTTCTGCCTCGCGCTTGACAAATCTATCCAGGAGGAGGTCATCATGACGCATCTTCTCCCCTGCGTCAAGGAGCTTGTCACTGACGCAAACCAACACGTTAAGTCCGCCATGGCGTCTGTTATCATGGGACTATCTCCTATTCTAGGTAAACATACGTTTTTTTATTTAAACATTCTGAAGTGACTTAAAACCTTGGTGAAATAATAAAATATAGGAGATTGGGATTCATTTCACACAAAATAATAATTGTTTAATACAATTGAGAGGAACTAAGGTGCGGTGGCATATGGGTTGTGTACAGATTTTACTGGGATAGTAAGGATTAGGACAGCTAGGAATCAGCTATACATCAAAACAATTTCAAAGATCGCCAATAAGTTTTAAAATTTTCCCGACAAAATCAATTAAGTTCATTTTTGTTTGCTAAATGTTTTTATTTACAGTAAATCCAGTTTTCGAGCTGCCTCTAATACTTTACAGTAAAATGCAAGAAAATTCTCCCCTACTCTTCCTAGGGGTTTATATTTTCTTGAGAAATAATTCCCCCTCTCCTTTTTTTGAAAAATCTTCGTTTCCTGAGAAGGTATGTAATACGCGTGAGTTAAATTTATTTTCCCTGAATTGTGGAAAATAAATTATTGTTAGGGAAAAAAGATATTTTGCGTGAAAAGTATCAAAAGGGCGTAATTCTTAGAAATATACACCCCTGGGAATTGCAAATACTTTATACTAAATACAATCTTTTCAAACGTATTTAGAGCTATACACTATTCAATATGATGTATACTATACTTAGTGAACGATGAATGTGTTTCGTTTCTTTATCTTCGTGAATTATCGTTCATTTTCTAACTATTTCGTTCAGTACAATCGTTCGTTCAATTGAATCGTTCGTTCCTTAAAAAAAGGATAGTTTTAAAAAATATTTTTTGGAAAATCGTTCATTCAGTAAAAAAAACTATAGTTTTTTAAAAATTTGTGTTCCAAAAGATAGTTCGTTCAGTAAAAAAACGATAGTTTTTTCCAAGTTCCATCCATTTTGTTCGTCCATTGTTCGTTTTTTTGTTAACGACACCGTTTTCCACAAAAAAATCGTTATCGTCTCAAAAATGTCGTTTGTTCTTTCAAAAAAACGATGTCCATCTCTAGTTCTGACAATGTTTAAATGTTCAGGAAAGACGAACACTATTGAGCACCTTCTCCCCCTGTTCCTCTCCCAGTTGAAGGATGAGTGCCCGGAGGTCAGGTTAAACATCATCTCTAACCTAGACTGCGTCAACGAGGTCATTGGGATCCAGCAGCTCAGGTACACTCCCCTTGGGAGGGTGATTAAAAATGTAAACGTCAAATAAATATTTTTTTACCTGTTTGAAAAATTTGTATAATTAAATTTGTATTTTTCAATTTTACATTTTAAAAATAAAGTTTTTTCAGGTAGTATTTATTATAATTTTTTTAGTCAGTCCTTGCTTCCAGCAATAGTAGAACTTGCTGAAGATACTAAATGGAGGGTCAGGTATTCCATCCATTATTATTATTTAAAATTTTTTAATTAAATTTTCTAACTTGACATATTTTATCATTTCATATTTTCGTTCTAACTTCTATAAGTCTAATTAATGATCAAAAAATGTAATAAAAAATACACGAAATACACGAAATACACCGTTTATGTACCCAGGTTGGCTATTATTGAGTACATGCCTCTGTTGGCTGGTCAGCTTGGAGTAGAGTTCTTCAATGAGAAGCTCAACTCTCTCTGTATGTCCTGGTTGATAGATCAGGTTAAAATCTTCTTTTTTAATTCTATTTATTTTATCGGCAAAATCATTCTAAATGACGGTGTTATGTTTTTCCCCTAGTTTATCGGCATTGCTTGATACTTGAACCGATTGCTCATTGCGGTGTGACAATTGCTTTGTTTTCTTTCCTGTTAAGCACATAACTTACCCATTTTAAAAGAAGTAACGTATGTTTGCGCGGGGCGAAGTGTGTTTTTTAGATGGGGGGGGGGGGTGAATTTTGGAAAATAACTGTATAAGCGTATCATAAATAAATACAATATTTAATGACGACCCATGAACTGTGTTGTGTTAATCACAGTAAATCTAAGTTAGACATATTTTGGTTAATTTGTGCTAAGTAACACACTTGGGACAGAAACTTGCACTTAATATGTGTACTGAATTAGAATCTGCTCAACAATTAACTCTTTGAAAAACCGCTTCTGCATTCATTAAAACCGGATTTAATATATTAATATGTAGGTTTACGCCATTCGCGAGGCAGCTGCAAACAATTTGAAGAAGCTGGTTGAGAAATTTGGAACTGAATGGGCTCAGCAGACGGTCATTCCCAAGGTTAATATTTTATCTGTTCTTTAATTAATCAATCAACTCCTTCCTCGGAAGACCAATTTATAGATAAAAAAGTGTCCTATATGGGACTGTGAGCGACATTTCAAGTGGCCCTCCATCCAAAGATGATAATGCCCGATTTACAACGGTACCCTTGAATTCTAAAATCTGAAAAGAAATTCAGAAGAAAACGTCGAAAAGTGTTTGATTCTGATAATTTTTCCATTGTCTCTTAAAAGCAAGAAATGCGCAAGTAACTTTTGCAGAGAGACCCCGTAAACGAGAATAAAGGGTTTAAAAAACATAAACTGATGTATAATTTATACTTGATCAGACAACGCTTTTAAGGGTTTTGAATCGGACTTTTTCATCTTTGCATGGATTGGAGGGTCACTTGAAATACCGCTTACAATCCTTTCATAAAAAATCTAAATTATTTTCAACGTGTGGACCTTCTGTTGGCCGGGTGATAAATATTAAAAATGCATCTTTGCGTTTAAATGAAGTTTGAACTGAACTTTACCTTATCTTGTTTATATTCTGTTAAGTAAATATTTAAAAAATTAGAAATTCCTTGAAACTTGGTATAAATGAAAATTATCAGACTCGAAATATATGAAAACGTTTGTGAATCTTGAACAAAATATAATGATGATCATTTATTTTTAATAATATTAGGTGATCGCGATGTCCAAGGATCAGAATTACTTGCACAGGATGACTTGTCTCTTCTGCATAGGAAACCAGACATAACAAATAGTTTTTAGATGTTGGGGGGACGAGGGAGTTCCAAGAAAGAAAAAATTACCCC